TATACACTACAGTTCAAAAGGCCATGTCTGATAAATTTTTTTTTTTAAATTGGCCCCCAAAATAGTTGTTTTGTACTTTTAGAGAAAATTATTATACAGTGTAACCCGGATATAAGAGACCCGGATATAAGATAAACCCGGATATAAGAGACCCGGATATAAGAGACCCGGATATAAGAGAAACCCGGATATAAGAGAGATTTTCTCTGGTCCCAAATTAGAGCCTGTGTTAATGTATATAAAATAGACCAAACCCGGATATAAGAGAAACCCGGATATAAGAGATTTTCTCTGGTCCCAAATTAGGGCCTGTGTTAATGTATATAAAATAGACCAAACCCGGATATAAGAGAAACCCGGATATAAGAGAGATTTTCTCTGGTCCCAAATTAGGGCCTGTGTTAATGTATATAAAATAGACCAAACCCGGATATAAGAGAAACCCGGATATAAGAGAGATTTTCTCTGGTCCCAAATTAGAGCCTGTGTTAATGTATATAAAATAGACCAAACCCGCATATAAGAGAAACCCGGATATAAGAGACTTCTTCTCCGGTCCCGACAACTCTCTTAAATCCGGGTTACACTGTACATGGTAAAAAAAAAATTTTAGACATGATTTTTTATTAGAAATTTTATTATGACAAAAAAAAAAAAAAATTATGATTAAATTTTGCTCTCGTCAAAATATCCTCCTTTAGCCTTGATTACTGCAGCACAAACTTTTGGCATTCATTGCAAAAGTTTCTCAAAGTATAAGTTTAATAATAGATACCATTCTCTTTTCAATAACTCTTTTTTTTTCACTCTTCTGTCAAGTTCATCCCATGCTAATTCTAGGGGCTTCAAACTCTTGAACTCTAATGTATATAACGACCTAATACATTGATGCTCACCCTGCAGGGCCAAAGAGCCACACGAGGTAGAGGGTTACAGGGTAAGAGGTACAGTTTATGGGGATATATGAGGAAGATAACGGTTAACCCTAGACTTAAATAGGTTAAGATTGAAGTGATTATGGGAGTCGGTTCCACCGGGCAATGGTTCGTGGAAAGCAGCTGCTCAAGTGGAACTTACTTCCCACCAATGGAATACGGTTGGATCCCTACAAGGTGCGTGGCATGGCGGGTCTTGGCCGTGAAGGATAGATCTAATGGAACAAAGGAATGTAGTCCGCCTGAGAACTTTCCATAGAAATAGTGACTCAGTAGCGAGAGGCTTGAATCTTTTTTGGCTGCGAAGGAAGAGTTTGTAGCTCCTAAAATAATTAATCACCCACAAGGCCGTGATAATGACTGAAACGATCGAAAGCTACTTTTTTTTTTTTCATAATGACGTTTACCCTCTAGAAGTCTCAAGAGCCACTCGAGGTTGAGAGGCACAGCTTATATGGGTATATGTGGGGAAGATAACGGTTGACCCTAGACTTGAACGGGTTAAGATCGTAGGGATAGGAGACTCACTCTCTTGGGAATCAGTTCCACAAAACAGTGGTCAGGGCTGCTGAAGAAAGCTTATTATTTATGACAAAAATCTAAACAGGTTCTTTTATCCCCCGGTTCACGCCCCTCCCCGGAGTATGGAACAGAAGTAGAAGTCTATCCCTTGTTATCTCAGTATCTGTCTATATTTCTGAGATGAGGTATTATGTACACTATTTACATTATTCAGACTATTGTCCTCATCTTTGTTGCCATATTTATTACAACGTTTCGGCCCTTTAGTATCTGTCTATATTTCTCAGATGAGGTATTATGTACACTATTTACATTATTCGGACTATTGTCCTCGTCTTTGTCGCCATATTTATTACAACATTTCGGCCGTTCTACGTTCCGGCCTTCTTCCGGTGGTTGGAATGTCGACCTGAACCATTTATTTCTCTTACTGGGGTAGACTGTTCTAGTTCCACGTGCCAAGTTTAATGGATGTCAGTTATCAGTTATCTCCTGTTAATTTCCCTCTGAAAGTTCTCAACTGCCTTAACCGGGTATTGAACTCACACTCTTTGGGTCTGTCACTGGATCTAACCAACGCCTTTATCCACTGTACCATGTGTCCTTGAGAACTTTAAGATATTAATTAACAGAAGATAACTGATGACTGACATCCATTAAACATGGCCCGTGAACCAGTGAGCGAAATAAAGGGCTCAGTTCGACATTCCAACCACCTGAAGAAGGCCGGAGCGTACAACGGCCGAAACGTTGTAATAAATATGGCGACAAAGATCAGGACAATAGTCCGAATAATATAAATAGTGCCCTTGTTATCTGTTTAGGATTGGGTTTTTAGTTCGTTCTAAAGTCTACTTCGAATCTATACTTCCAACGGCTCTGATAGCATTCGGATTTCTTTTTTTCGATATTTCATTTCTTGCCCTTTCTTACGCTTTCTTAAGTATTTGAAGATGACAGAGTATGAATGTTGGTACCATTGCTGAAGGCCTGAATGATCTTTTTCCTTTCAGCTTTGCTCAGTTACGAAAATATTGGGTTTAACACAAAACGATTTTAACCTGTTCTCTTTCTAGCTGAATAACTCAAATTGTTTTTCAGTCATTCTTACGACAAATGACGTCAACATGGATAAACGTCTTATTTGAAAATCCGGAAAAAAGAAACTCAATTTATTTAGTGTTTTTTTCTTTTCTATTAAACATTTAAAATTATGGTGTTACACCCGTATATATATATATATATATATATACATATATATATATATATATATATATATATATATATATATATATATATACTGTATGTAAACCAACACGCTACCTTGAGTAGCTCTCAAGCCTTGGATGGACATAAGTAATAAAAATAAATAATAAAACCTGACATTTCTTTTTTTTCATTTCTTTATTTTTTTTAAACCTTAGCTTCCAAAACTTCAGTCTATGATCCTCATCCCAGAAAATAAATAAAAACGAAGGTAAAAGTTTTTTTCGTTTTTTATTATTATTATTATTTTTTTTTTAATGTCCATTTTATTCTAAAGATTGACCCTTGACTTGAAGAGGTTAAGATTGTCGTATTCTGGAAAGCACCCACTTGGGAGTCGGTTCCGCAAAACAGCGCTTAGTGGGAAGAAGCTGACATTCTTCCAACTTTGCAGACAGGTTGTATGTTGAATAAACGATGTTTGGTCTGATCTGGGGAAGTGGGTCAGGTCGAGAACTTTTCAGCACCTACCTCGAATGTTATCTAGAAACTGTTTACTTGAGTTCCAGCTGGCGGATGACTCCCTTGGAGCCAAATTTCGACAAGACGTGTGTGGGAGATAAACTTCCGGTTAAGTTGTTTGGAACTTTTACTTACACACACGCACGGCCAGGCTCTGATACACAAACCTGCACACACACGCAGAAATATATATATATATATATATATATATATATATATATATATATATATATATATATATTATATATATTGTTAATTTTGTAGACTACTCTACTGGAGTATAGATAAAAAACTCTCCAGGTTTGCTGTGCTTCTGTAGTTTCGGTAAAATGTAGATTTTTTTTTTTTTTTTGGCCATGGATGTGTTGCAATCCCAATATCGAAACGTTTTAATTCTTTTTTAATTCGGTGTAGCCCTTCTCCTACCACAGCTAGACTACCCAGTCTACTCTACTACTTAACCAATTCTTGGGAGTTAAAGAATATTTGAGAGGAAGCGAATACAGCTGCCTTGGTTGGAATCTGAACACAACAAGCCAATATATATATATATATATATATATATATATATATATATATATATATATATATATATATATATATAGTAATACACTTTATTTATTAATCCGGCAGATTTTGTCAGCTTAAACCCTATAACGCAGGTTCGAATCATGGTGGAGAATGCACATTTTTCTGTAATAATATTTCTCGAATATTTAGGCCGGTAGATGAAAATGAATAAATATACACTTTAATAAATAAACGGAGCGTCTACTCAAATAAGAGTATCCGCTAAAAATAACGTTAAAATGATTATATATATATATATATATATATATATATATATATATTTGTGTGTGTGTGTGTGTGTGTGTGTGTGTGCAAAAGTATTAGTTTTCAACTTATTCAAGATTATCTTCGTCTTTCTAAGCTTCTAACGTTCTGTCCTGGAGTAACAAGATGCCTCATAGGTTTAATTTTATTTATTTTTTTTCCCTGCTCTTTGGACTGTCATTGCTGAAATTTCTCTCTCAAAACATCTTATGGATTGTGTCGGATCTTTTCTAATTGATCTCTTTAGCTCTAAGTTGAAATGATGATCCTTCTTCCTGTTCTGACCTTCTGATCCAGTTTTCCTCTCTAGTGTTCCCACTTTTTTTAAAAACTTATTCACTATTCTTTGGATGGTTCTTGAAAGTATTTGAAGATGACAGAGTATGAATGTTGGTACCATTGCTGAAGGCCTGAATGATTTTTTTCCTCTCAGTTTTGCTCAGTTACGAAAATATTGGGTTTAACACAAAACGATTTTAACCTGTTCTCTTTCTAGCTGAATAACTCAAATTGTTTTTCAGTCATTCTTACGACAAATGACGTCAACATGGATAAACGTCTTATTTGAAAATCCGAAAAAAAGAAACTCAATTTGTTTAGTGTTTTTTTTTTTATATTAAACATTTAAAATTATGGTGTTACATCCGGTATATATATATATATATATATATATATATATATGTGTGTGTGTGTGTGTGTGTGTGTGTGTGCGCGCCCGCGCGTGTGTGTGTGTTATTATTTTTGTTTCAGTAGTATATTTTGTATGCCTTCATTACTTGCGTTGTGGATGAAATGATATGGGTATTGGAAATTTTTGAATGTGTTTTCTATGGATGTTTCTTCTTTAGGTAAATATTGGGGGCTGCAGATTCTTAATGCTCTCAAATAGAAACCATTTTTGTTTGTAGCCTTTCTATAAACGCCAAAATTGAGTTCGTTATTGTTTTTGTGTAACCAAATACACTCTTCCCTTCCTAGAGATCATGTTAAAGAAAATAATAAAAATGAAAGAGAAAGAAAAAGGAAAAGATAGATAGATAGATAGATAGATAGATAGATAATGAACAGAATCAAACAAATAGATGGATACGGAACAAACATAGATAGATAGATAGATAGATAGATAGATAGATAGATATGAAAAGACTGAGATAGATAGATAGATAGATAGATAGATAGATAGATAGATAGATAGATAGATAGATATGAAAAGACTGCGATAGATAGATAGATAGATAGATAGATAGATAGATAGGACCCTACAGTCTTATGTTGGCAACCAGTCTACCGTAGAAAGAACTGGCAACGAACTGCGGGAAAATCTTCAAAACGCTCTCTTGCAACAGGCCTTAAGCCAGCATGGACGAATGGGTTCATTTTACATTAGAATAATATCTTATGCTGAGGTGCATTCTGCCGATTTGCGATGTAAGCGTTTGCTTATGAGCATAACCAGGCCCGGTGCATATGCCCCGTACCCCCCACGCATCCATGATACCCCCTGCATATATGATCCTGCCACCCCACTCGACTTCATCTCAATTTTCATGGGGTAGTATTCATATAAAATACAAATTTTATTGGAATAATGTACAATAAAGCATCATATACAAAATCGAAAATAAATCCAAATGTATCTAAATCCAAATTAGAGACCTGTCATAAAAGACAATTCCAGGGCAAACCCCAACGTGGTGTAAGCTTGTCTCACTAGATCAATTACGACTGAATAGTGAGTTCGATCCTCACTGGGTGCCCCATGCTTTCGGCCATGTGCCATATCTACGTTTAGTAAATCTTTATAAGATACTGGCAATAAGTCTCTTCGTCGAAGAATATAACAGTTGAAATCGGAAAATAATATATTTATTCAGGGCCGGTACAAGGGTCTGATGTCCCCACCCTGAATCTATGATACGCCCCACCCCCTCTACGCTACTACACCTTAGGGCACCTCTGCGTGATATTATGGTTAGTAAACTTGTCTCGCTAAAAAAGATACCAATAAATAGTGAGTTCGATCCTCACTGGGTGCCCCATGTTTTTGACCTTGTGCCATATCTATGCTTAGTAAATCGCTATAGGATACTGGCAATAATGCTATTCGTCAAAGAATATAATAGTTTGAAATCGGAAAATAATATATCTATTCAGGGCCGGTGTAACAAACAGTCTGATGTCCCCACCCTGAATCTATGTTACTCCCCCCCCACTCTACTCCATCTCATTTTTCATAAAGGTAGTATTCAGATAAAATACAGATTTTATTGTGACTTAATTATGTACAATAATGGATCATATGCAATATAAGTGAACAATTCAAGTAGAAAAATCGAAAATAAATACAATGTATCTAAATCCAAATTAGAGACCTGTCATAATAGATCATTCCCGGGTACTCGGGCGTGGTGTAAGCTTGTCTCGCTAGATCAATTACGACTGAAGAGTGAGTTCGATTCACACTGGGTCCTCCATACTTTCGGCCTTGTGCCTTATCTGAGCTATGCTTAGAGAATCACCATAATAGATCATTCCATCTCTATAATAAATGCGAATATCAGTGTGGCACTGTATCACACTTTTTCAATTAAAGGGACACAACTCTCTAACTTTCAATAGTTCATGTTACAGAAATTTTGGATTCCCAACTTTTCATTCTTGTGATTGTTTTCGGCGATTTTTTATGCGATTTTTTGCGACGAATTTTCTTGTCCGATAATAATTTTTAGAACTTGGAAATAAATTTGGGAATAATCGAAATTAATTGCGAAATCCGGCGAAAGTCACCCATGAAACAAAAATAATTGTTTGTACAGAAAGTAAGGACCTACGTCCATCAAATTAAGTGGCGGCAGAAGAATTATCGTTGAACTTTTCAAAGGTAAGCTTAAAGATTAATGCAATACTTAGATGCAGCGATCAATTTTGAGTTCTTCTGTAGTTTATTGTTGCCTATTGCATACTGCAGCAGTATGGCTCGCAAGAAAGAAATCTCCGCCAACAGAGGATCAGATTGCAATCAAACGAGCAAAGGCTGTAGCGAGGAAAAGAAAGTCCCTAGCAAATGAAAACCCAGATCAAAGAGCAGCCAGGAGAGATTCCAATGCTGAGAATATCCAATGATTTAGGGACTCTCAATCTCCGAAAGCCAAATCAAGATCCCTCAACAGGATCTAGCTTAAATACCGCCCGGTAGTATGTCTCTTTTTTTTTTAATTGCAGCAGATTTAATAGCAGAAGAACACAAAACGTACCCAGATGAAAAACTCTCTTAGTATTTCCAGTCTGATCGTCGATATATTCCTCTTCCTTCTAAATGGTATCACTAGGATCAGTAAAAGACTAACGCCTTTTCTTTCTTGCGTTACAACAGATTTAAGGTAGGCTTACATATTAATGCAATATTTAAATGCAGCGATCAATTTTGAGTTCTTCTGTAGTTTATTCTTGCCTATCTCATAAGGCAGCAGTATGCCTGGCAAGGAAGAAATCTCCGCCAACAGATGACCAGATTGCAATCAAAAGAGCAAAAGCTGTAGCGAGGAAAAGAAAGTCCTTTGCAAATGAAAACTCAGATCAAACGGCAGCCAGGAGAGCTTCCAATGTTGAGAATATGCAAATACTTAGGGACTTTCAAACTCTTGAACAAGCCGAACACCCAAGCAAGAGCCCTTCGCAGGGACTAGCTTAAATGCCGCCCGATTTTAAGCTAGTCTTAAATAAATCAAAATCAAAATTGTTCTGCGGCAATTTATAACATCAGCTTGAGATCTTTCTTATTAAAATGTTGAAGAATTTTAACACATTCAACATTATGAATATAAAAAAATAGTGAATTTTATATCGCGTTTTTTCACGACTTCAGTCAATCATTTATGTGCCATGCGTGAGACAGGCTTAGGCGATCATGTATCTTTCGATAGATGACTGACAAGGCATATTTTTCCTGCAGTAGGTTGTCATTTCTTTTTGCAGTAGACCAGTTGCCACCCAAGGCTATAGAACCCAATCTGTCCTGCTATTTACCCATAGCTAGTGGGAGAAGAGGATTCATACCTTTCCCAAGGGTATTAGCACGTAAGTGAATTTCAGTCACTTATGTGTCATGCGTGATACACGCTTAGGCGATCATGTATCTTTTGATACATGATTGAAGAGGCAAATTTTTCCCGCAGTAGGTTGCCATTTCTTTCTGTGGTAGACCAGAAGGCTATAGAATCCGGTCTCTCCTGTTAGTTACCCATAGCTGTGGGGAGAAGAGAATTATGTGCCATGCGTGATACACGCTTAGGCGATCGTGTATCTTTCGATATATGACTGACGCAGTAAGTGGCCATTTCTTTCTGCGGTAGACCAGTTGCCATCCAAGGCTAGAGAACCTAGTCTGTCCTGCTATTTACCTACATCTGTGGGGAGAAGAAGAGGATTCATACCTTTCCCAAGGGTATCAGAACATAAGTGAATGTAATAGATTTGACTGGAATTCGAACTCGGTTCTCCGATTCCTCAATCCAAGCTGCTATCCATTACTCCACCGTGCTTCCTATCTCGACTTAGGATGAACAGAACAAAACAAATTCAAGGATGTGGATGTAAGAAAGAAGCACCCCGAATGACGTTAACATTCACAATTTTTTTTTTACATTGAATTGTCAGTCGTGCTTAGTTTAATTTGTAACGTATGTAAATGCAGGTAGAAATAAGCAAATGTTGATAAGTTAGCGAGGGTCACAAAGCATTGCCCGGGATCCCAATCAGGCTTGATCGGTCATGCGTTTCGGGGATAGTACGTACCGTTCCCGAGCGTAAGTCTTGCCCGAGGCTTATTCCTTAGTTCTAGTCAGAGTTGCTTTCCGAGGAGCGTCGAATGACGGCCTTAGGTCTGTGATAAAATGGAGACTGTAATTAAGATGAAAGAAGTACCCGTCAAAAATGCTAGTAGTTGTTATGTTCTTATTTTATAAGGTTTTTCTGGTTTTTTTTGTTTTTTTTTCGTTATTTTCTTCTCCGTAGACCTTATTGTCCATCAGCCATTTTTTTTTTTTTTTTTTTTTTTTTTAAAAACATCGCTTCTATTATCTTTCAGGATATAATTGAGACATTGTTTATTCTTAAAGTCTTCTTCCTCATCCTCGTGTCTGGCTAAATCACACCGGCATCTTCAGCGATCCGTGCACAAATTCCAAAAAGGCCGCCGATGATTACACTACACACGGCAATGATCTGCGCCATTAGGTAAAGAAACGAGACGCGCCGATTTGGAAGAGTAGAAAAATGCAAACATCTGGAATGTGTCGGAGGGGGAAAGAGAAATTCCAATTGGTGAATCAAAGAACGAAAAGGAGGAGGAGGAGGAGGAGGAGGAGGAGAAAAAGAACAGAACAATAATGAGGGTGGTGGTGGTGGTGGTGGTTGTGGTGGTGGCAAAAATGAAAGGGGTGGGCCAGATAGATGGAGAGTGGAAGTAGAGGACAATAAAGCAAAATTGGTGATTATGATGAGCCTTGAAAAGAAAGCGGAAGCATATTAAGGGTGAAAAGAAAGAAAGAAAGAAAGAAAAGGGAAAGAAAGAGAGAAAGAAGGAGAGAGGGAGAAATAATGAAAAACGAATAGAAGGAACGATAAGAAAAAAACAAGAGATAGATAGATAGATAGATAGAAATAATGAAAATGAAAAAGAAAGAAAAAGCAATAGATAGATAGATAGATAGATAGATAGATAGATAAGAGTAATGAAAATGAAAGGGATAGATAGATAGATAGATAGATAGATAGATAGATAGATAGATAGATAGATAGAAATAATGAAAATGAAAAAGAAAGAAAAAGCGAAAGATAGATAGATAGATAGATAGATAGATAGATAGATAGATAGATAGATAAGAGTAATGAAAATGAAAGAGATAGATAGATAGATAGATAGATAGATAGATAGATAGAAATAATGAAAATGAAAAAGAAAGAAAAAGCGAAAGATAGATAAAAATAATGAAAATGAAAAAGAAAGAAAAAGCAATAGATAGATAGATAGATATGTTGAAGATGAAAGAAAAATCAAAAGGAAGATAGATAGATAGATAGATAGATAGATAGAAAATGAAAAAGAAAGAAAAAGCGAAAGATAGATAGATAGATAGATAGATAGATAAGAGTAATGAAAATGAAAGGTATAGATAGATAGATAGATAGATAGATAGATAGATAGAAAATGAAAAAGAAAGAAAAAGCGAAAGATAGATAGATAGATAGATAAGAGTAATGAAAATGAAAGGGATAGATAGATAGATAGATAGATAGATAGATAGATAGATAGATAGAAAATGAAAAAGAAACAAAAAGCGAAAGATAGATAGATAGATAAGAGTAATGAAAATGAAAGGGATAGATAGATAGATAGATAGATAGATAGATAGATAGATAGAAATAATGAAAATGAAAAAGAAAGAAAAAGCGAAAGATAGATAGATATGTTGAAGATGAAAGAAAAAGCAAAAGGAAGATAGATAGATAGATAGATAGATAGATAGATAGATAGATAGATAGAATGAAAATAAAAGAAAGCAAAAGATATACACACACGCACGCACGCACACACACACGCACACACGCACACACATAGATAGATAGATAGATAGATAGATAGATAGATAGATAGATAGAAATAATGAAAAAGAAAGAGAAGGAAAAGAAAAGCGCAAAACAAAGAAATAAAGAAAATAAAAAAATAAAACTAATGAAAAGGAAAAAGAAAGAATGAAAACAAAAAGCAAAAGAAAAAAAAAACAATTTCCAATTCTTGTCCATTATCCATTTCAACACCCGCAATCAGTGCTTATAACACATGGTATTATGAAACGCTCACCCATCCAGGTACTGACCAGTCTCGACGATGCTTAACTTCGCTGGTCGTACCAGAACTGGTGTTTCAATGTGATATATCTCTAAGCCGAAGAGAGGAGAAAGAGGAGAAAGCAAAAAAAGTAAGAGTAAGACTTATCTAATATTTTGAAATCATCTTCGAATACGTTTTCACAACATCGCCCACGTGACGACGACGTGATCATATTAAAAAAAGCAACGCTGATCTTATAAAAATTTCAGTTATCTGTTTGGATTAGTCTTACTCTTATGTCCATCGTCTTTTTCATGTTGAACTGAATATAGTCTAATGTTAATTATGTTTTATGAATATGTCCTGAAGATGGTCTATTAGACCGAAACGTCCGACGTTGACATTATATTAACATTAAAACAGCATAATTGCATATTAGGATTTTTGTTTGTTTTTCCCTATAATTTTCTTCATATATATATATATATATATATATATATATATATATATACAGTGTAAGAGAGTTGTCGGGACCGGAGAAGAAGTCTCTTATATCCGGGTTTCTCTTATATCCGGGTTTGGTCTATTTTGTTTACATTAACACCGGCTCTAATTTGGGACCAGAGAAAATCTCTCTTATATCCGGGTTTCTGTTATATCCGGGTCTCTTATATCCGGGTTACACTATATATATATATATATATATATATATATATATATATATATGTAGACAGTAGAATCTCTCATATCCGGTATCCCTCATATCTGATATCCCTCATATCCGGATATGATTTTAATGTGTATATTTGAGCTATCTGGGCACTAATCTGAAATTTCTGTTTTTCGGGGAATTTACTTTGGATAATTGCTTATGCTTATTTCACCCTAAATGGCTTAGATTGGTGCAAAAGATGATGGGAATAAGAGGAAAGGATGAAAACGAGACACGTCTGCAACAAGATAGCGACGAGCTGCATGAATGTGATGAAACCTGAACTGAAATTGAAAAAGCTATTGGAAAGGTTGTTAATTTTATGGAAAGAAAGCCAGCATTCAGCTATAACGATTGCAATAACGCGCACAGAATTACAACAACAAAAAAATTTAAGAACAAAAGCAGAACGAAATGTGGAAAAAGTTGAGAATGACATTAGAAGAGAAAGAATCATCATGCAACAGCGATTAAAAAATCCTTGTTACTTTATTTGTCTTGCATACGTGGCATACTTAATCTAATGAATTTTCATTAATATTACTTACCATTAGCTTATTTTGTTTACTATAAAACATTGAAAATAAATCTTAAACCTGACTTCAGTTGTTTTATTTTAATATAAATATAACCCCTCAAATCCGGACTTTGTAACCAATTCTTTATATTCGGAAAGTCTTCTTAGTCCGGTAATACTAAAAGTCTGTGACTGCGTGCGTGTTTGCGTGCTTGTGTGGTGCGTCCGTGCGCCCGGCGCAGGATGATTTTTTTTTATTCAGTAAGTATTTTTATTTTAACTTTCTTCAAACAGACAATTTTATTTTTAATTTAAATAATTTTAAGTTAAAGACAGACACAAAGAGATCCCGCTTTGCTGTTTTAGTCCATTTCTTTGTTGAGTAATTATTTATATTTCAGCTTTCTTTAAACAAACAATAGACTAGACGCCGGTGAAAGTTTATTGTAACTAACGGCCGACTTCAACATACGAAAGTCAACATTGTCTGATATAAAATCTTCCGAAGAAACTATTCTCCAGCGTTCACACTGTCACAATGAAAAAGGAAATAAAAACATGAATGTGATGAAACCTGGACTGAAATTGACAAAAAAAAAAGCTATTGAAAAGGTTATCAGTTTTATGGAAAGAAAGCCAGCATTCAACTATGACGATTGTAGTAACTCAAGCAGAGTTAAAAAGTGTCTTTCGTTTAAAAAATTTCAAGAATAAAAGCAAAACGAAGTGCGGAAAAAGTTGAGAATGCCATTAGAAGAGAAAGAATCATCATACAACAGCGATTAAAAAAAGTCCTCGTTACAATATTTGTTTTGCATACGTGGCATACTTAATTTAATAATTTTTCATTAATATTAGATAATTTGTTATTCCTTAAAATCATTTCCGTTATATTTCACTCGCAATTAGCTTATTTTGTTTACTATAAAACATTGAAAATAAAATGATTTCAGTTCTTTTATTTTAATCTATATATAACCCCTCATATCCGGACTTTGTAACCAATTCCTTATATTCGGAAGGCCTTCTTAGTCCGGTTATCAGGGATTCTACTCTAATACTAAAAGTCTGTGACTGCGTCCGTCTTTGCGTGCTTGCGTGGTGCGTCCGTCCGACCGGCGCAGGATGATTTACGAATTGTTTATACAGTAAGTATTTTTCTTTGAACTTTCTTTAAAGAGACATTTTTCTAATTAACATATTTTTAAGTTAAAGACAGCCACAAAGAGATTCCGCTTTGCTGTTTCGTCCAGTTGTTTGTAAAGTAAATATTTATATTTTAGCTTTCTTTAAACAAACAATATTTTAAATATTTAAAAATATTTTTTGGCATGTTAAAAAAATATTTTCAAATGAATAGGATTTTAAAATATTTTTTGGCATATTAAAAATATTTTTTAAGTTAATCTTTATAACCAATTCCTCATATCCGTAAGACCTTCTTTGTCCAGTTGTCAGGAATTCTAATATATATATATATATATATATATATATATATATATATATATATATATATATGCAAGTTTCATTAAGTATGACTGACAAGATAATTTAAGTTTTTTTAATATAATTTTTCATGTGATCTTTCAATTATTTTCTTTTCAATAGTTGTTTTTTCCGAGCGCTTTCGGCTATACATTTAGCCATTTTAAACGTTGTATTATATCAAACAATGGAAGCCTTATTAATAAAAATAAAAAAAAACTCAATAATAACAACTATGAACATGGACACAATATCTTGACCGTGTTCAGAAACTGAAAACATTATGTAAGTACATACATACAACAATTTATTTCTAGTTAACAGCTAATATATTTCAACTTTGAAATTGGCTAAATGTATAGCCGAAAGCGCTCGGAAAAAAATTTTAGAGAATTTATGTGTAATTTATCTACTGAAAAGAAAATATTATAAGATTTCATGAGAAATTATATAAAAGACTTAACGAAAGCACCTTTTCTGTCATATTTAATGAAACTTGCATGAAAGAAGGATTGCTGCCTAAATACACAATATATATATATATATATATATATATATATATATATTGTTCCACTCTCAGTTTCAATTAATATATATATATATATATATATATATATATGATCAAAATTTTCGAGACTCTTGCTATGGCAATGGAGCTACAAAAGTACGCAAGAGTAAAGCCGCTTGGCACAAAATAACTTTGAAATTGCATAGACACTAAGTTATAACTTCCCCGCACACTCCTAGGAAGGAACGCTCACTTAAACTGATTATAACAGTGCTTGCAAGGAACGGGTAGAGGTTCCATCACTGACCATGGCTTGTGAAGCAGTTTTTGGCTAAGTACAACATACCCCAGGACCGAAAGCATAATATCCCACAGATCTCGCTCCTTGCGACATTTCCTATTCAGATATCAAATCTCACTTGAAAGGAACAAGATTTCAAGGGAATGCGAAGGTGTAGCTGTTCACTATCCGAAAAAAAAGGAGTTCCAGGAATGTTTCCATCAATAGGAACGACGCTTTTTATTATTTATTTATTTATTCTATTTCGTCTATTCTAACAGGTGTGATTTTGGTAATTTGTTTGGGCTAATTTATTTTACTTATTTTATTGTCAATTTGTTTATTTATTTATTTATTTTTATTTTATTTTATTTTAAAACAATTAAAATAAATTCATCTAAATTCATCTAAATAAATAAATAAACAAACTAACAAACCGATCCCGATAAATTAACCGCAAAAAAAACAAATAAAGATAATCAATCCAAATAAATACATGAAGTAATAAACAAATTAAAACCTGCAGCCACCAAAATAATAGTTAGAATAAACTACAACAATCAACCCCAAAATGAAATAAATAGCTTTAATTATCTTCCCAAACCAAAACAAAATTATTAAATAAGCGATATAAACAAATTTTTACTACGTTAATAAAAACACCGATTAAAATAAACATAAAAAATAAATATATAAGATAAGAAATAAAAATAAAAAATAAAAATAACAATAAATAATGACAAGCAAAATAATTTAATCCAAATAAATAAATAAAGAAATAAACGACTTCCGGTAAAATAACCGCCAAAAAAGACTACCCACAATGCACCTCTGACCAGTATATATAAATAGCCGAGAAAAATAACAGCACTTGTGGCCTGACGATTGCGTCTAGTATGAAACAGATTGTCGCCTATAAGTGTTGACTTCTATGTTCACTTTTATATTTAACACGCTCTATCTCCGATATTGAGCACTTTATCCCATAAATATAGCACACCTTAAGACTATATTTCTTCATATATATATATATATATATATATATATATATATATGATCAAAGTTTCCGAGACTCTTGCTATGGTAATGGAGGTAATGTACGTGGAGTAAAGCCGCTTGGCACAAATTAACCTTGAACTCTATCGTGCATACACACTAAGTTACAAGTTTCTCACACACTGCTTGGAAGGAACGTTCACTTAAGTTGATTACAACAGTGCTTGCATGAAACGGGTAGGGGTTCCATCACTGACCATGGCTTGTGAAGAAGTTTTTGGCTAGGTACAAACTTTCCCCAGGCCCGAAGTCATAATATTCCACAGATCTCGCTCCTTGCGACTTTTTCTCTTCTGACATCAAATCTCACTTCAAAGGAACAAGATTTCAGTACTTCGAGGAAACCCAAGAGAATGCGACGGTGTAGCAGCTCGCTATCCGAAAAAAAAAAGAGTTCCAGGAATGTTTCCATCAATAGGAACGACGCTGGATAAAGAGTGTCGCTTTAGAAGGGGGTCTACTCCGAAGGAGATTAAATGCCGAATTGATATGTGTTGTAGTTAGCGGACTGAATATTCAAGAAATCTTATTAAAGAAAATACGCGCTCTCCAGCAAGATTCGAACCTGCACCGCCACTAGACAAGAGAAACCACTGACCTGTTTGTACCGAATCAGACACGGACTGCGTCGCCGATCAAGATATTCAGTCCAGTAGACGAAAATAAATATACAGTTTAATAAATAAACGGAACGTCTATTCAAATATGGGTATCCACTAAAAATACAGTCTAAACCTGTCGGATCGATGACTAAAGATCCATTACTTCTTTACATATTGCTTTGTTTACGTTTGGAAACGATTTTGAGCAGATATGAATGTTTCAAGAGTCAGAGAAAGATTTACGTTTATAAGGCACTATTCAACTTCGCATGATCGGCGACGCTGGCCTTAGCTGAGTTGGTATAAGGGCGTCCGACCTCACGACAGTTTCTCCTCTCCCGGGTAACGAAGGTTGGAATCCTGCCGAAGAACGTGTATTTGTCTTTAATAAGATTTCTCCAATATTCAGGCCGGTACACAAAAATAAATAAACACACTGTTTAATAAATTAACTGAGCGTCTGCTTAAATATGGGTATCCACTAAAAGTAACATTCACGTAATAAAATATGTGAAATTAATATTACTACTTTATATATATAATAATAATCGAGTCTCCCGTCGAGATTCGACGTATGAGGGTCAAGCAGATCAGTTTCCAGGAAACCGACAGCCCGACACCGGCACATGAGATTTGATTATAATAGTGAAGGCCTCGTACAGGACCATCCACACTTTTTGAAGGGACGAATACAGAGACCTGGTGCACCGAATGCCACGAGGTTCCCAAACGACCCTCCGCAGCTTTTGAATTCAGAGTTGTCCTTCTCCTAGACCAGTTGCCATCCAAGGCTATAGAAACCAGTCTGTCCTGCTATTTTACCTATAGCTGGAGGGAGAAGAAGAGGATTCATACCTTTCCCAAGGGTATTAGCACGTAAGTGAATGCAATGGATTCGACTGGAATTCGAACTCGGCTCTGCTATTCCTCAATCCAAGCCGCTATGTTTACTCCACCGTGCCTCCTATATATTCGAAAATTATAACATAAACATGTTATAGAGACACTACAAAGCCACTACATTTTTTCAAGACTTCTGGTGTTTTCTCAAGTGATGTTGTTGATAATATTTGCTCTACTCTGTATTGAGCACTCTTTTAAGAAAAGCGTTTTTGGTTATTGGAATTTTATCCCGTCTACACCAATCCTATACTTGGATATATATATATATATATATATATATATATATATATATATATATTAAGCATTTCACCCCAAGCAAGGCGGGGAGCCACTAGGACATAAAGTGGGTTTACAGAAAATTTAGAGCAAGATCAGATAGGGTGATAGAAGAAAGGATGAGGGAGGAGGGTAGTGGAAAGATCAAGGCAACTGGAGATGTCGATTGACATTACATTTGAATAGTTGGAGATTATAGCTCTCAGGGGAAACTGGAATAGGGAAGGGTGTTCCACAGGCGAGAGGTGCGAGACATGAAGCTATTGGAGTAGAAGAGACGGCTACATTTAGGAGTTTCGACAGTGAAAGGGTGAGAGCGGGATGCCAGCCTCGTAGGGCGCTTGAACTCATGAAGTCTGGGAACCAGCGAATGCAGCTCCTCGGAGCAATTTCCATGAAAGTATTTGTAGAACAGATTGTTCCTCTCTTAGTTTCAAATTAACGTTTCTTTATTCATATAATCCCAATTTAATGTCATAATGTTAATATCTGGGTTTAATTTTTATAAAATCTCTTCCCTTTAAGACTAATACGCTCCACCCTCCCCTGACCACTGTTTTGTTTTCTGGTCTGATTGAAGCATTGAAATGAATAAATTCTGTATTAGTTTTCCGACGCATTTTTTGTAGCTGTCACAATTAAATTTCTAATTCCCACAAGAACTCAGTCTATACCGGGGTTGATTAAGACTTGACGAATTTTTCGTCGGCTGAAATAAGCTTATTTCCCATATGAGGTAATTCTGGATTTTATTGTGTACTAATTATTTGCTCTGAAATAATAAATACATTGATCTCTTTTTGTGGATTAGTTTTAATAGTTTATATTACTAGAATCCACTTGGATTATATACCAACGGATTTATTACCTTCGCTATATATATATATATATATATATATTAATTTAATGATAAACAGACAACTTTAAGGGTCCATGGTTATAATTTATTTCTCCAGGCAACTTCTTTTTTCCTAGCTCATCAGACCACACTTCCAAGGGTGGAAAAATGAATTTAAATTTACATATAATTTTTTAAACTTTTGACGGGTATTATTAAATTGATGTAAGGTGATATAGAGAGTGGTGAGAGATAGTGTAACAGACATGGTCGAAATTAGAGAGGGAAGGGAGAGATAGGAATGCTTAAAAATTTATTTTTATTACAGTACTTAATAGTGAGGAAGGTGGGTAAGGATCAGACATTGGCCTACTTCATAGGTGAACACTCGGGAAACGGTATAGAGAGAGAAAAGAGAGAAGGACAGATGTAAGAAATAAGAGATGGAATGGGAATATAAATTTAAAGAGGGAAATTAAGAGAAATATATATATATATATATATATATATATAATATCAGGTCATCCCATAAGTTCTGTCCGAATTTTGAATAAAGAAATCAAGTGACCAAATGTTACATTGAATTACAGATTCAATCAACAGTGTATTTTCCCTGATTATCTATGACTTCCTTCAATCTATTAACAAGCTTACTAATTCCATTACTGTAAAATTCTTTTGGCTTTGATTCGAAGAACTCACAAATGTCAGTTTTAGCTTCTTCCTTTGTTACAAAAGCTGTTTCTTCCAAATGATTCTGTAAGCTACGAAAGAAATGGTAGTCTAAAGGAGTAAGATCGGGAGAATAAGGTAGCTGAAGAATTTTCTCCCAACCAAGTTCTTCGATCTTTTGTGACGTGATTCTTGCTGTGTCGGCTCGCGCATTGTCCTGATGAAACATCACCTCTTTTCGATTCACTAGAGCAGGTCTTTTTTTCCTCAAAGCTTGGTTCAAACGCTCTAATTGCTGACAGTATATTTGAGCATTAATTGTTGCATTAGGTGGTAAGAATTCAAAGTGGATCCCACCAGATTGAAAGTAGAACCTTTTGCCCATGAAGTTCCCTTCTCAGCTGTGGCTTGGGTCCTTCCCCTTTACCAACCCACTGTCTATCACGCTTAACATTTCGATAAAAGATCCATTTTTCGTCGCCAGTCACAAGTCTATCCAAAAAAGATGAAACAAGTTGGCGAGAATGGAGAGAAGAGCAGATGTCAACTCGGGATTTGAGGTTGATTCAGACAATTCATGAGGCACCCATTTTCTAAGTTTAGGAACTTTTCCAAGTTGTTGAAGATGACGATGAACAGTTGTATGGTTTGAACTGAGAACCATTGCCAATTCCTCAACTGATAAAGCAGGATTTTCTTCAAGGGCTGCTTCAAGAAGCTTTACATCAAACTCAACTGGACGTCCGGTTCGATCTTCATCTTCAAGGGTGAAATCTCCACCTCTGAATTTTGTAAACCATCTTCTGCAAGTTCTTTCATTCACACATTCCTCTCCATAAACTGAGTGAATGTTTCTAGCCGCTTCGGCTTCCTTTCTTGAACTCATAAAGCATTATGTGCCTCAAATGATTCTTGGGTACTTCCATGTTAACAAGGTTTTAATCAAACAAAATTTAATTTTATTGTTCTCTGAAATAAAATTTGATCAGTTTAAATGTATCTAAACATAAAAATAATGTTCAGCTCCATTATAAAATACTCTTTAAATTTCGTTCATTTTAACAAAAAGTTAAAATTCGGACAAAACTTATGGGATGACCTGAGAGAAAACATTTCGATTTCATCTCAAATACAGTAAAATACATGAAATTTAACAGTATAGTTTACAACAAACCTGCCCTGAAGTGTGCCAGTCGCCATGTTCGTATGACCACAATCCGTACTCCTTTTTTCTTCTTGACTGTTTCTCGCCAATTGATGGCCCTTCCACGCCGCTCGTCTCAACGCCTCCAACCAGTATGGCTGTCGTATCGTTTTCCCTTTTTCCAGAATCTGACAGATGTGACGTGACACGGTCAGTTGCTTGGCAAGTGGCCGGCTGTTGGCAGGTTTCAAACATGAATTAATACCCGGTCGTAACGGGGATGTTCTGTCAAGGTATCGTAAGACTTCTCGCGAGATTAGCAAATATCTCGCCGAACGGACAGGCGAGTTTACGAAAATAAAAATATGACTGGCGAACGAATTTGCAAATATACGAAAGGGTTTAGTGTCTATGGGCTGATTCAACTTCTCTTTCTCTCTCTCTCTCTCCCTCCTCTCTCTCTCTCTCTCTCTCTCTGTGTGTGTGTGTGTGTGTGTGTGTGTGTGTGTGTGTGTGTTTCTCTGTCTCTCTCTGTCTGCAGGGTTTTTATTTCTCTTTCTCTCTCTCTCTGTCTATGGAGTAATTCAACTTCTCTCTCTCCATATATATATATATATATATATATATATACAGGCACCTAAACTATTTCTAATACTGTGTCTCTTCACGAAGTAGGCGATAAGATTCCGTTTCTTCATGATCTGGGTATCGCTATCCTTTCTTGGGGAAGATGGAGTAATTCATCTTCTCTCTTTCTCTTTCTCTCTCTCTCTCTCAAGATAGATAGATAGATAGATAGATAGATAGATACACGCACCTAAACCATTTCTAATACCGTGTCTCTTTGGGAAGGGTCTCATCAGATTCCGTTTCTTCATGATCTTGGAATCGCTATCCTTCCATGGGGAAGATAATGGAGTGGCTTCCCATTGCCATTTCCGTGATTTGGAATTCATGGTTTTTCGTCTCCTAGACCTGCTATTGTCCAAAACAAAAAAGCCTCATAATTAACCCATAGCCGGGGAAAACTGTATTGCTTTATCTTAAGAAAGATGATGGTGTGTTTTCCCGTTGCATCTTGCGCTATTTGCTTCAGATATGTGACGCATTCAGCGGTGGAGGGGCGTATTTAATAAAAAATCGAAAATTGCTTCCTTTTTTTTTTCGCTGCAAATTATTGATTATATCATATCTAAGTATTTTACAAAAAAAATAGAGCCGATTACACGATATTTCAAGCACAACGTGGGACAGAGCAGATGAAGAAACGATAGAGAGTTGAATGGGTAGCGTTAATTATGCTCAAATAAACCCATTGAAAATTAACCCAGCGGCCTTCTTCGTTATTTGTTCTGATCCTTGTGCCTTCACCAGCAAAAGCATTCTAGCCCTTTTTCCTAGCACGGTTCCGCCAACTCGATTCAACACTTAAAGTGCGGACGGAAATTCGATTTTCACTGCACTGTGATCAAATAAACCAACGTGGGGCAGAGCAGACGGTCAAACGAAGCGAACAACAGATAACCACCATTTGCCTGGCGCCAATATTGATCTGCGTAGGAAAGACCACGGGTCGAGCCGAACCGGCCGTGTTATATGTCTATAAAATGCTTTCGTGGCATGCGTCTGAAATAGAAAGGAGGGACTGCAGAATTTGATACTCACAGGTCGAATAGAGGGAAAAAGAGACAAGGGAAAACAACGCATGACATACCTGGTGGGCTTCAGGAACTGGATGGCAGAACGTGGTCTGGAGGTGTTGGCAGAGGCACGAAACTTATTGAGAGACACAAGGGATAGGGGGAAGCGGAGTGCCATGATTGCCTACGTCCTGAAAGGATACGGCGGATAAAAAGAAAGAATACAATGTCACGATAGATAGTCGAATGGGGAGGCATAATTCCGTTATATTAACATAAACCCATTGAAAATTAACCCAGCAGCTTTCCACGTCATTTGTTCTGATCTTTGTGCCTTTACCGGCAAAAGCATTCTTGTTCTTTTTCATAGCACGGTTCCGCCAACTCGATTTAGCGCTTAAAATGCGGAAGAAAATTCGATCTTTACTGCACTCTGATCAAATAACACAACGTGGGACAGAGCAGATGAAGAAACGAAACGGTCAACAGATAAGCATTAGTTGACCGGCGCCAGTACTGACCAACGTGGGGAAGACCCCGTATCGAGTCGGACCGGCTGTGTTAAATTTAGTGCTATCGAACCTTATGTGACATCTCGACACCCGTCACTTCTCCATCAACCTGCCGGGAATTATTCTAATGACCTTTGCGTTCTGGTACCTCGACCGCATGAATTTACGCATAGTACTAGACTGGGAACTAAGTCTTATGATTTTATTATTGAAATAAGTAAATGCAACCGTGAGTCCTATTTTAATAGTTTCTTTACTCGCACTTCTCGCTTGTGGAATTCTCCCCTAGCTTCTTTCTTCCCTGTTACCTACGATCCACAAAATTTTAAATGCAAAATTAATCGCCATCTTCTATTTGCTTGAATCCTGTTTTGTCATTTTTTTTCTTCACTAACATTTTCTCATCTTCTTTCACTCTCAGTAAGCCCTTTTCAGTCTTAGTGGCTTTATCGCCTTGCTTTGGAAACAGCGATTAGTATATTTGTGCATAGTTTTATTCATCGTCATATGACGCGTTTTTTTTTTCTGAGGAAGGGCGTATTCGACAAAAAAAAATCGAAAATTGCTTTTTTCACTGTAAATTATTCATTATATCGTATCCTAGTATGTTACAAAAATTTAGAGCCGATTACACAATATTTCAAGTTCAGTTTAGGTTTATAGTTCATAACCATACAATGAGATGAGGTAACATAAACCGTAGATTTGTCTACGGAATATCATTACATTATTGTTACATAATTAGAGTGAAATCATTAAGGTTTTTTTGTCAAAAGCATTTTATTTCTGGTCGTATATTAATTCAAATTATTTCTTTTTACAAGCTTTATTTTTGAAATGGAATAAGATCATTCTACATTTCAAAATTTCGCTGTTGCCCATCAAAATGACTGGAAGAAAGCGATCTAAAAACAACAATGGAAAAGAGAGGTAACAAAGCGTAAACGAAATAGCTCCAATTTGTTCAACTGATGAAAACTACCTCACAACAAATCGAATATCGAATTGATATTTTCTTTATTTATTTGTAACTAAATACATAATTGTCAACAAACTTGATATTCCCAATAATAAATTCTTAGCAAATATTATTATTGTTATTATTTTACTTAAATGTAAGGTAGTCCTATATTTACAATTCCTTACGGCTAACCATGAAAAGAAATGTTGATTGAAAACCGCCTGAAACCTTTAAGGCGTGTATTGCTGCAAAATTATCAAATATTGAATACACCCTTCCTCTCCCGAACGCGTCATATAATCTAGAATATATTGAAGAAAAAGAAGTTTAAATAAAAGATTATATGAACACAAAAGAGACATTTTAAAAAGCATCGTAACGAAACTGACTACAATTATGACATAAAAAGAATACTACTCTAATTAAAAGAGAAAACAATTAACTAAGACGGAACTGTTTAGAAAGAGGCCTTGCTGTTGGACGTAGTTTATCGTCTTACCCTGGACGCGGATGTAGTTTATCGTCATACCCAGGACGGAACTTAAGAGGGATTTTTACAAAACAATACACTTGATGTATTAGTCATTCATTGTAGTAAATTTGACTATAATTTTAGAATTTCGTATTAGTTAAGAGAAAGAAATTTATTAAGACAAACATCTATGAAAAGTGTACAATAGTAAAACTACAATCGTAAAACTTACCAGATTCACAGGATTAGAATATATAAGAATATACAAGAAGTTTAAATAAAAGATTATGTGAACACAAAAGAGACGTGTTAAAAAACAATACATAAAACGCATTTGTTAGTCACCGTAACGAAACTGATCAAAATTTCGACATAAAAATCCTGCTCTAATTAAAAGAGAAAAGAATTCACTAAGACCAAACTGCTAAGAAAGTTCTTTAATCGCTAATTCATCCACAGTAAATTTGCATCCAGCTTCTTACAACGTTTCATCATTCTTGGCAGATCTTCTATTATCACAATGTGGCATATTTCATAAGAAAGATGATGGAAACAAAAAGAAAAGGAAAAAAAAACAAATTAAATGAAATTGGCTAGATGATATACACAAAAGACATTATGAAAAACACACTATTAAAAACCATTGTTAAAAACACATTATTAAGAACACATTATTAAAAAAACATTATTAAAAACACATTATTACGAACCATTATTAAAAGCAAATTATTAAAAACACATTATTAAAAATGCATTAATAAAAACACATTATTAAAAACACATTATTAAAAATACTTTATAAAAAACCATTATTAAAAACATATTATTAAAAACACGTTATAAAAAAACATTATAAAAATCACATTATTGAAAACACATTATGAAAATCAGATTGAAAACACTTTATTAAAAACCATTATTAAAAACACCTAATTAAAAGCTTATTATTAAAACACATTTTTAAAAACACATTATTAAAAACTATTATTGAAAACACATTATTAAAAACATATTAATAAAAAACATTATTAAAACACATTAATTAAAACATTATTTAAAACACTTTATTAAAAACCATTATTAAAAATCATTATTAAAAGCATATTATTAAAAACGAATTATTAAAAATAATTATTAAAATCACCTTATTAAAAACACATTATTAAAAACGCAAAACAAGTTATTAAAACAAACAAAACAAAAGCAAAGCAACCCAAAAAACATTATTAAAAACATTTTTCAAAAATATTTTGAAAATTTAGAATTCGTAGCGTCTCTCGTTCATGCGCATTTGTAGTTGCATCAACATAAATCAACTTTATTTGGATATATATATATATATATATATATATATATATATATATATATATATATATATATATATATATATAGGACTCTACCGTCGAGATTCGACGTATGAGGGCCAAACAGATCAGTTTCCATGAAACCGACAGCCCGACAGCCCGACAGCCCGACACCGGCACATGAGATATGTTTATAGTGGTGAAGGTTTCGTGCAGGACCATCCACACTTTTTGAAGGGCCGAATACAGAGACCTGGTGCACCGAATGCCACAAGGTTCCCAAACGACCCTCGGCAGGTTTTGAATTCAGAGTTGTCCTTCTCCTAGACCAGTTGCTATCCAAGGCTATAGAACCCAGTCTGTCCT